GAGCACTGGAATGACAGACGTGCACCATTATGCCTAGTTGTTTATGTATACATTAAATTATTTTTTTTCTTTTTGTTTTTGCTTTGAGACAGAGTCCATGTATGCAGTTCAGGTTGTCCTTGAGCTCATGATGTAGCCTGGGCTGGCTCTGAACTCACAGCAGTCTTCCTGCCTCAGCCTCCCCGGTGCAGGGGTGGCCAGGTTTTCAATGTACCATTACATTTGGAGCTACGTGGCCCGCACCACAATCCTTTCCAGGCTATCTCTTCACTCTGCAGGAAAAGCTCTCTCTCTGAGTACCCATCCTGGCCCCACCAACCCCACCCTGGGCCCGACTCTGGTTCATGAGTCACACTCAGGGCTGGCCCTTGCACCACCCGCTCTCAGCTGTTTGTATCCCTCTGGTCACACGAGCGAGCAGCTTTGTGTGTGCTCAGTGAATGCGCAGATTTTCTCCACGGAGCCTCTTTGCACTAGCCTCAGGTGGCAGAGGCACTGAGTTCAAGTCTGCTGGTGTGGCGCCCCCAGCGGCGAGGGCACCTCTGGCTCCTTGCAAAAAGGCAACTGCGCTGTCAGGTGCCCAGCTGGCGCTGCTACTGTGGGCTTGAAGCAGCACCGGCTTGACAAAGGTTGCTCTGTTTGGAGCATGGGGGGCTGGGGAGGAGAGTGAGGCTGCTGAAGGAGACCCTGTGTGCGGGCGGCCACAGTTGGTAGTGGCTGTGTTCCCAGCACCGGGCTGGGCCTGGCGGAGTCGAGATGGACATGTGCGGGTCTGGGTTGCAGGTGGTAGGCTCTGGAATACAGGAGGTGATAAGGACAGAGGCTGGCCTGGTGAGCAGGGTCCTGGGACTCCACAGGGAAAGCATGGGCAGGGGCCAGTGTGTTGGGATCCCTCTCTCTGCATTCTGGCTGGAGTGCTGCTGCCCCTCCTCCCTAAGAGGATGGGAAACTTCTATCCCTCCAAAATGAACTTCGGGGGGTGGGGGAGCAGCAGGGCAGCCTCACAAGCTTGCAGCAAGGACACTGGGGAGCCAGAAGCCAGGGCCACAGAGCTGCAGGGCTTGCGCAGGGCAGCACAGGGCTGCACAGAGCTTTCTGGGGCCGCAACCAATTCCCTCCCACAAGGCCTTTGGGGAGGGCCGTGGCAGGGGTGGCCCCTGTGCTTTAAGGAGAGCCAGGCCGCCTTGTGGTCCTGCTGGCGTACTGCTTTCCTTCTGCAATCAAATGTCCCAGAAGTCTCCTGTGTGCGGAAGGCGAGTGGATCATGAGCCACAGCACCCAACAGTGGCTTCAGCCGTGGAGGAGCTCATGGCTGGTGTGCTGTTGTGGGGGAGGGCTGGCTGGAGGTGAGCACCGTGGGCTGACTTGGAAGGGTCTATTCTTGCCCCTGCTTCTCCCTGCTCTCTTTCTCCTGGCCGCCATGGGGCGAGCAGCTCTCCTCCAACAGGCCCTTTTGCCTTAGAGCGGCTGACCATGGCCTGATACCACAAACCCAAACAAACCTCTGCTCCTAGGGTGGGTGAGATAGCTCAGCAGACGAAGTGTCTGCTTAGGCAAGTACAGGGACTGGGATTTGATCCCCAGCACCACATGCCACGCCGGCCCCACCTCTGGGTGCACTAAGCTGCTCACTGAGACGGGCCTGGTGGTGCACCCCTGTAATCCCAGGGCTGGGGAGGCTGAAAACAGGAGGATCACTGAGTCGGAGCTGTGTGGTGAGATCCTGTACCAAATACATAAAAAACAAAAAACAAAAAGCCTTCTGCCCCTTGCGGGTTGGCATTGGGTACTGTGTCCCAGCTTCTCTGCGCCAGATCTTTCAGAATTCACTGTCTGAGTCTAGAGTGGGGACCATGAGGATGAGGGTGATGCCACGTTTGGGACAGAAGTGACAGTGATAGTAACAGTGGTAGAGAAGTGAGTGCTCCCACGGTGGGTGTGGCTTGCCTAGAAGCCTGCCAGCTCCAATTGGCTGCTGAATTACTCATTTCTCAACCACTGCGCCAGGGCTGCTTGCCAGGAAAGAACCCTGTGACCCAGGGCTTTAAAAATTGATGTGTTCATTGAGTCATTCCCTCGATTCACATCCACAGGCACCTATTTCTTGTGGAGCCCAGACTTCACACCACAAAAGGCCCACGGGAGAAGGAAGACTTCACACAGCGCTGTTTAACCAGCAAACATTGCGGGTGTAGACAGCATGGAAGGCCAGGGGCCAGAGGGCAGCTCCACCACGGTTCAGGGTGCAAGTGTGCACACGTGTGTGCATGTCAAAGAACAGATGCATAATGCGTGTGTGTTTGTGTGTAGTACACAAGGAGGCCAAGAGGCAGCAACCTGATGTCCCAAGGCCGAGGGGAGTGTGCTGTGGCCCTCAGCCCATGGGCACACATGCATACACGTGCACCCTACCACATTCAGAGACCCAAGCCAGCTGCGGAGGAGGATGTGCGGCAGGAATCCTTGCAGGGAGAAATAAAACTGAACGGGGAGACCTGCAGCTGTCCAGGAGGTGGGCAGACTGGCGAGGACTGGCGTGGGAGGCCTAGGCATTGGGTTTTCTCCTGAAACAGGGGTCCCCTGGGGGACGTTTAGGGAGGGTAGGCAGCTCAGCTTCGAAGGGAGCGTCCCTCAGGCGGCGGGTGTCATGGGCTGAAGGGAAGCTCCCTGAAGTGCATTCACTTCTGAATCACAGCCTCCGGGGTGGGGTCCGACTTGGAAAAGGGTCTTCGCAGATGCAGTGAATATTGGGATACAGATGTGAGCTTGTCCTGGTTTACTCGAGTGGACGTGAGCCCAGTGACAGGAGGCAGAGAAGCCAGGGTGACACACACAGGAGAAGGCTAGGTGAAGACATGATGGCGTGGTCTGTAGTGATGCAGCCACAAGGCAAGGGATGACTGAAGCCACAAGAAGCTGGAAGACAAGGAAGGGCCACCAGCATCGCCATAGGATGCATTTCTGTTATTTTTTCAAAATTTATTTTTCCCAGGAATGGTAGCACATATCTGTAATCTCAGCCCTTGGGAGGCTGAGAGGCAGGAGGATTGCCATGAGTTTGAGGCCAGGCTGGCCTACACAGTGAGTTCAAGGCCAGCCTGAAATACATAGTGAAACTCTGTCACAAAAAAACCAATTATATATATA